ACTCCTAGGCTCAAGCCATTCTCCCACCTTGGCCTCCCAAAATGCTGGGATTACAGGTATGAACCACCATGCCTGGCAACTCTGTCAGGTTTTTTTTTGGTTTTTTTTTTTGAGTTGGAGTCTCACGCTGTTGCCCAGACTGGAGTGCAGTGGCCGCTCCCGGCCACCGCAGCCTCGAACTGCTGGGCTCCAGCGATCCTTCCCCCTCAGCCTTCCGAGTAGCTGAAACTACAGGCGCGCACTACCACGCCCGGCTGATTTTTGGATTTATTGTAGAGATGAGGTCTCGCTGCCCAGGCGGGTCTCGAACCCACGGACTCAGGCAATCCACTCACCTCAGCCTCCCAAAGTCACGGGATTACAGGCTGAGCCACCAAGCCCGGCTAACTCTGCCAGTTTTTAAGACACTTATTTTGCCCAAGTTCTCATTCTAGGGCTTTTTGAATCTGTGGCTTCGGGCCTTTTAACCAGTCTTGGAAAATTCTCGGCCATTATCTCTTCCAAGATGGCATCTGCCTCATCCTTCCTCTCCTCCTTCTGGCACTCCAATCACGTGTGTATTAGAACTCGCTGCGTCCTCTCTTATCTTCTCTTCTGCAGTTTTTCTCCTTTGTGTTTTCTTGCTTCGTTCTGGATATTCCCCTCTGCTCCATCTTCCAGTTCACTAATTTTTCTTCCTTCCTTCCACTGAGTTTTTACTTTTCAGAGATTGCCATTTTCCACCGGCCACTGTTTGGTTTTCTGCTATTTTTCCAATCTGCTGCTAAAATTCCAATCTCATCTTTCCACCTCCTTGAATGTAATGAACACAATTATTTAAAACTCTCCAACGACGCCAGTACACAGAACCCCTGTGGGTTTATTTGTACAGTTGGTTATTTCTGCTGGTTTTTGTTCATATGGTCCTATCTCCTTGTATGTCTGGTTATTTTTACGTGCGTGCCAGACAATGTGTTTGCAGATTTGTATGTAGAAATAATTTGAGCCGGGCTCGGTGGCTCAGCCTGTAATCCCGCGCCTTTGGGAGGCTGAGGTGAGTGGATTGCCTGAGCCCGCGGGTTCGAGACCTGCCTGGACAGCGAGACCTCATCTCTACAATAAATCAAAAAATCAGCCGGGCGTGGTAGCGCGCGCCTGTAATTCCGGCTACTCGGAAGGCTGAGCTGGAAGGATCGCAGGAGCCCAGCAGGCAAGGCTGCGGTGGCCGGGAGCGGCCACTGCACTCCAGTCTGGGCGACAGAGTGAGACTCCAACTCAAAAAAAAAGAAATAATTCAAGTCCTGGGAATGATGATGTTTTCTCCCCCATTATTCCCCCAGGATTGAGGTTTACTTCTTCCAGGCCTGTGGCAATAGGATCACCTTAATCTCGTATTAGGAATTGAGGTGATCTGAACCTGAACTGCAGTCACTGTGAGGGCCTGTGTACGCCCTGTTTGTCGTTGCTCCTAAAATGCCTCACTAAGTTGCCTCAACTCACATCAAGGGGGGATTCACCAAGCTCTCTGCCCTGGGGAAGCCCTGGACCTCAACCTCTGTACCCCTGACCTTGGGAAGCATCTGATAGAGGTACCACTCAGCCTCTCAGCAAACCCCCCAGGAAAAAGTAACTCCAAAGCCAGACCTGCCCCCTGGGCGTCCACCTCCCCAGATCCTGGCTGGAAATTCCTCATTCTTAATAACCCCAAGGAGCTTTCAGCAGAGGTTTTGATCTCTGTCCAGCTTGTCTGGGTCCCCTTGGTGGAGGAGTTTGCTTGTTCCTGAGAGTTAGACCATTGTTGTGCAAGACAGAATCTACCAGTAGAGATTTTTTCTTTTTCTTTTTCTTTCTTTCTTTTTTGATTTGCAGTCTCACTTTGTCACCTAGACTGGAGCCCAGCCACTGCAACCTCGACCTGCTGGGCTCCAGTGATCCTCCCACCTCAGCCTTCCAAGTAGCTGGAACTACAGGCGCGCGCTACCACACCCAGCTAGTTTTTGATTTATTGTAGAGATGAGGTCTTGCCTGCCCAGGTGGGTCTCGGACCCGCAGGCTCAGGCCATCCACTCACCTCAGCCTTGCAAGGCGCAGGATTTACAGGCTGAGCCACCAAGCCTGGCTGAGATTTTTTTATTTTTCGAGTCAGAGTCTCATTCTTTTGCCCAGGCTGGAGTGCAGTGGCACAATCATGGTCACTGCAATCTCCACCTCCTGGGCTCAGACAATCCCCCAGCCTCAGCCTCCCAAGTAACTGGAACTACATGTATTCACCACCACGCCTGGCTAATTTTTTAAAAAATTTATTGAAGAGATGAGGACTCACCAAGTTGCCCAGGCTGACCTCAAACTCCTGCGTTCAGGCAATTCTCTCGCCTTGGCCTCCCAAAGTGCTGGGATGCCAGGCATGACCGCTGCGCCTGGCCTTAACAGTAGAGATTTTTATCCAAAGTCCAAGTACTTTATTTATTTTTGAGTCGGGGTCTCACTCTGTTGCCCAGGATGGAGAGCAGTGGCACGATCACAGCTCACCACAGCCTCCCCCTTCTGGGCTCAGGCAACCCTTCCACCTCAGCCTCCCGAGTAGCTAGGACTACAGGCATACACCACCATGCTTGGATAATTTTTTTGGGGGGGTAGAGATGAATTTTACCATGTTGCCCAGGCTGGTCTCAAGCTCCTGGGCTCAGGTGATCTTCCCGCCTCAGCCTCCCAAGTAGCTGGGACTATGGACATGAACCACCACGCCTGGCTATTTTTTGATTTTTTGTAGAGACAAGGTCTCACTATGTTCCCCAGGCTGGTCTCAAACTCCTGGGCTCAAGTGATCCTCCCGCCTCAGCCTCCCAAGGTGCTAGGGTGACAGACGTGAACCACCGCCTCAGCCTGGGTTGTTGGATGTGATCCAATTTCTCCAATTTCAACTCCAGGTCCCCCTCGGGCCAGGTGAGCCGTCGGTGACTCCCTGCCTCCAGGCAGGTCAGAGGAGCAGTGACAGGGTGTGTGTCCACGGGGAGTGAGATTTCTCCAGCGCTCCTAGCAAACCGGCCTGTCCACCTCGTCTGGGTGCAGGGGGTCCCGTCATCCTGTCTCTTCAGCAGCGGTTTATACTTGCCGGGTGCTGCAGGATCCCCAGGCTTCTTGACTGACAGCCTCTGGGTCTACCATTCCCTGACATGGAAATCCACGGGCTGGGATGTACACATAGGAGTGTCCCTCTGAGCAGCCAACAGAACTCACCAGGGCTCGGAGAGGGGATGTGGCTTTCCCAAGGTCACACAGCGCAGGAGAGCCCGGGCGGATTTCCAGGCTGCCCATGTCTGTGGTGGCCCTGCCCGTCGGCATTCCTGCTGTCTCACCCACTGCAACTGTGCTGTGGCCTGCGTTCTGGGGAGAGGCTCTGGTCCTGTGAAGTTTCTGGTAGTCACACAGGGTTGTGGTTGCTATGAAGTCCAACACCTGACCAGGTGCGGTGACTCACACCTGTTAACCCTGTGTTTTGGGAGGCCGAGGCGGGAGGATCGCTTGAGCCCAGGGGTTCGGGACCAGCCTGGGCCACACATAGTGAGATCCTGTCTCTACAAGAAATGCAAAAATTGGCCGGGTGCAGTGGCGCGTGCTGGTAGTCCCAGCTGCTCGGAAGGCCAAGGCGGGAGGATCGCTTGAGCCCAGGAGGTGGAGGCCTCAGTGAGCTGTGATCTCGCCACTGCCCTCCAGCTGGGCCACAGAGCAAGCCTCTGTCTCTTAAAACGAAATTAAAAATCAGGTGGGCGGGAGACTCACACCTGTAATCCCAGCACTCTGGGAGACGGAAGCAAAAGGATTGCCTGAGCCCAGGGGTTCCAGACCACTCTGGGCACCTTGGTGAGACCTCATCTCTATAATAAATAAATTACAACAAAAAAAATTTAGCCAGAGATGGTGGCTCGAGCTACTTGGAAGGCTGAGGCAGAAGGCTTGCCTGAGCCCAGCAAGTCGAGACTATGGTGGCTGTGAGCCTGCCACTGCACTCCAGCCTGGGTGACAGAGTGAGACTCCAACTCAAAATAAATAAATAAAAAATAAAAATAAAAAAATTTAAAAAACAAAACGAACCCACTTCTTGAAGCAGACATATGTGTATTTACATTCAGTGCCATTTTCTGGAACCTGAAGTCAGCTGAGCTCAAAATGTTTGCGTTTTGGTGAAAGCCCGGGCATAGGCCGCCAGGTTTCCCCGATGATGGTGTTCCTTACGGGCCTCGGATTCCGCCCCCTGGGGACAAAGGGCGATGTCTAGGGACATGTGTGGGTGTCACGCCTGGGAGCACGTGTGGCATGGGGGGGTGGAGGCTCAGACACTGCACACGCCCTGCGGGGCCTGGGACGGCCCCCCAGAGGACGGCCCAGCCTCGCCATCCGCAGGGCGCCGGGGAGACCCTGGACTCCATGAATGACGCGTCGCACTGCCGGTCTGGTGACTTGAGGGTTTCCCAGGCTTCGGCGTTCAGCCTCGTCTCTCTCTTTGGCCTCGTCTCTCTGATGCTGCCACGGGCTTTAACAGACTTTCTTTTTTTTTTTTTTGAGTTGGAATCTCACTCTAGCTCAGACTGGAGGGCAGTGGCCACTCCCGGCCACCTCAGCCTCGACCTGCTGGGCTCCGGCGATCCCTCCGCCTCAGCCTTCCGAGTAGCTGGAACTACAGGCACTCGCTACCACACCCGGTTCATTTTTTGATTTATTGTAGAGATGAGGTCTCACCACATTGCCCAGGCGGGTCTCGAACCCGCGGGCTCAGGCCATCCACCCACCTCAGCCTCCCAAGGTGCAGGATTACAGGCTGAGCCACCCAGCCCGGCCAGACTTTCTTTTCTATTTTTGAGTCGGAATCTCCCACAGTTTCGACCTGCCGGGCTCCGGCGATCCTTCCACCTCAGCCTTCCAAGTAGCTAGAACTATAGGCACACACCACCATACCCGGCTAATTTTTTTTTATTTATTGTAGAATCGAGGTGTTACCAAGTTGCCGGCGGACTCAGGCAGTCCTCTCGCCTCGGCCTCCCAAAGTGCTGGGATGACGGGCTGAGCCACCGCGCCCGGCCCCTACATTTAATGGCAGGGTAAATAATCAACATTCACTCTTTGTCACATGCCCGTGTTTACCTGTCACCCTCCTGACGGGCTCTGCGTTCTGACTCACCATCTGTAACGGCTGCCTGACATTCCACCCGGAAAACGTCCCACTGAATTCACCGCTCCCTCCTGCGGGGTCCCCTGCTGCTTCATGCAGACCCCTCACTTGTGTAAATCACGCCGTTCTAGACGCCTTTCTGTATACAGCTTCTCATGGCTTTTCGTTTTCTTCCTGGGAATCAGCGCCCGGTGACTTTGTCACGCCTGGTGTCCAGTTGATGCGGCTGAGGTCAGTTTCCCAGACCAGCGTCGGAAAGGGGGCGTGCCCAACACACGGGGCTCGCTGATTGGACACAATGTATCTTTCCCTGCCAGTTAGATACAACATGTCTTTCTCTGCTGGTTGGACACAACGTATCTTTCTCGAAGTTACAGATACAGCGCCAGCTTCTGGTTCCTTCTTTGTTCACTCTGGTGCCCAAAGTCATCTGGAGTCAGATTACTCCTTATAGGACCTGAGGGCACGTGGCCTTCCTGGGTTTCTCAGCTCGGGTGTGTGACGGGGTCATCACTCCACCTCCTTGCTTCAGTGATGTCTCCTGGGCCAGGGTCTTGGATTTTAGGGGTTTTTCGTTTTTGTTTTTTTGTTTTGTTTGTGAGAGACAAAGTCTTGCTCTGCTGGGGAAGCTGGAGTGCCGTGGGGAAATCACAGCTCACTGCAGCCTCGACCCTCCCAACTCGGCCTCCCAAGTAGCTGTAACTACAGGCGCCACCACCACGCCTTGCTAATTTTTTAATTTTTTGTAGAAGGGGTCTTGCTATGTTGCCCAGGCTGGTCTTGATCTCCTGGGCTCAAACGATCCTCCAGCCTCAGCCTCCCAAAGTGCTGGGATGACAGGCTGAGCCACCGAGCCCGACCAGATTTTATTTTTTGTTAGTAGAGTCATGAAGCAGTTCCAGGTATTCATTGATGATCACAGCTGTTGATCTTCATGGTTCTTTTGGTTGCTGGGACCTAACTTCCCTGTGATGGAGAATTTCTCCCAACTGCTGTGTATTTTCTTTTCATTCCATGTTCATGTGGGATCGTGCTGGGGTTTCCTCTAAGGTCTCGTCCAACCCAGAGGTCCTCTCCAAAGGCGGTTCTGCCCCAGGGGACGCTGGGTGATGTCTGGGGACATGAGTGGTGTCACACCTGGGGGCACTCTGGCATGGGGGGTGGAGGCCGGGGGGCTGCTCATACCCTTCATGGCAGACGCCCTCGCAGGGAAACACCCGGCCCGACGCCCACAGGGCACAGGGGAGACCCTGCTTCGTTATTTGGATAAACATTAAGTCCGCTCCCTGCTGTTACCAGACCCCAGGATTGATCCCGAGGGGGCAGGCGGTATAGACCCCGGGACCCAGCTCCTGGGACTCCCCTCCTCCCCTCTCGGTGTGTGGGTTCCCATGTGTGCAGCCTCCTGGGGCCTCCACAGGGCAGAGGATCCTGAGACGAGAGGCTCTGCGGGTCCGTGGAGTCCCCTAACTGGGGGTCTCACCTGGGGCGATTCTGGCCTCAGGGCCCTGGGTGATGTCTGGGACCCTCTGTGGGCGTCAGCACGGGGGTCCTCCTGGCATGGAGGGGGTGGAGGCTGGTGACGTGCCCCCAGAGAACGACCCGACCCTGACGTCCGCAGGGCCTGCGGGACCCTGGTCTGACCAGGCGTGTCTCCTGTCCCACCCGCGTGTCCCGCCGTGGTGCGAGCTGCCTGGCCCGTGGCGGCGTGCAAGCCCCGTGTGACCCGGAGCATCGTGTCTGGGCTCAGGCTGTTCCGTTTTGGGGCAACTGACTCCCTTCACGATGGTCCCAGCTCCCCAGGGCGCCCAGGGCTGTCTCTCTGGCCAAGGCCATCTTCCATTCAGCGTCGTCCATTGGCCTCAGCCAGGAGGCCGGCCGCGCTGGCGGTGCCACCAAGGCCTTACTTTTCGAGGACGTCACCACGTCGCGCCTCAACCCCGCCAGCCCAAGCCTCGGCCCT